TGACATCCAAGCTCCTCCTGGTCAGTTTTCCCAAGCGCCTCCCGGAGACCCCTTTCCAGGCCCCCACACATCCTTCTCTTGGTTCAGAGATGGCCGGCTATGTCAGGCCCTCCACGGGGCTGGGACTCAAGACTCAGCTCAGGAGCTGTGCCCAGAAGTCTTTACCAGCGCTGACCCCTGTTCCTACCTTGCTCTTTCTTCCTGCCTTCCCAAGAAGAACCCCTCAGACGCTGCGAGATGCACACCCTCCATGAGGATTAGCATCTTTTTTTAAATTCAAATACTGGGGATTATTAAACCCAAGGCCTTTGCATGGAGCTGATTTCCAGCCCCTTTTATTTTTTGTTTGGGGAAAGGGTCTTGGTGAGTTACCCAGGCTGAGCCAGCACTTGAGATCCCCCTGCCTCAGCCTTTCAGAGTCCTGGGATTACAGGTGTGGGTATCACAAACTGCTGCCACATCCTGTCCTTAAAACCTTCCTCTGTTTCCACCAGGAGAGAGCTACAGTCAGCTGGAGGGTGACAGGGACAGACGCACAGCTCGGGGCTCCCTACCACATGGGCCAGGGCTTGTCCTGCAGGGACCTCTTGTAAAGGGTAGGGAAGAGCTTGTGGTACACACTGGAGTGTTGCAACTGACTCTGGTGGGCAGAGGCCCAGCCACTGTCGCACCTCTTCCGTGCAGGACAGGTCAGTCCGTAGTGCCAGCGGCACCAGGGAGAAGCTTCCGCAGCTGCCTGCCAGAGGTGGCATCGCTTTATCTTCTCTAAACTCAAGTAAATGAGGAGCCTGGGCCAAGAGCTGGGACACGGGCAGCCAGCCCAGAAGGGAGACCCCATGCGCGCCAGGACCTGAAGCTACCAGAGGTTGGGGGCTGCAGTGAACCCCCATGCCATGGCCACCTGCCACCCCCAGCTCTGGTGCCCAGGAGGCCAAGGGGCACCGGGGTGCAGCCACGAGGCAGTGGTGGCCCCCGGAGGCTCACAACTGCCTAGTCCCCATCTCGGCTCAGCGGAGGGAGTGCCAGCAGTGAAACTCCCTGTAAGAGCTGGAGGCGGGTGGTGGGGGAGGCGGCAGGTGTGCAGGCCGGGCGGGCCTTGGGTGTCAAAGCAAGTAGGAGTGGCTAAGGAGAAGGACATCCTGGACTGTGCTGGGGTAAGTGGTGGGACAGACAGAGGGGCGAGTTACCGAGGACTAGGAGAAAGAAAGTCACCTCTGAGTTACGCACAGTCCACGACTCTCAGTGTTTTCAAGGTCTCCTTTTTTGCATGTACTGCGTGGGTCAGACCAGAGCCTCAGACATGCCAGGCAAGGGTCTGCCCTCTGTTTTATCTTGAGGCAGGCTCCCACTACATTGCCCAGGCTGGTCTCGAACTTGCAGTCTTCCTGTACCAGCCTCCTGAGCAGCTGGGGTTACAGGTGTGCACCACCGTGCCAGCTCGAGTTCATTTTCTTATTAGCCATTCCTAGTTACACTAGAACCTGGGGTTTGCCTGGACTTGAGTCCCCAAAAATCCAAACTTCATGAGACCACATCCAGAATGAGAAAGAATGGAAGCCCAGACATGAGTCACCACGATGGGATGGAGTGGGGGACTGTCCCCTCTCCCCTTCCCGTGCCTCCAGCACCACAGTGGACTTCAGCAAAGACCACGCAGCCACCCTGACAGAGACGGAAGCAGAAGGGAGGGTTTTGAAGCTCAGCATTTCTCTGGGTATTGTTTATTTATTCGTCTATTTTTGGGTTTTTTGAGACAGGGTTTCCCCATGCACTTCAGGCTGGTCTTCAACTCACTGTGCAACACTGGCTGGCCGCAAACTCACAGCAATCCTCCCTCCTTGACCTCAGTGCTGAGATTATAGGTGCGCACCTCCATGCCCCGAGTCTCTGGGCTAGTCCTCGAGGACAGGCCATGCCGGCAGCAGGGTCTGCATGCTAGGATCACAGGTGTAAGAGCATTCTTGTTCCTAGTTCCTGGCCCCTCGATGATGGACTCAGCCCTCAGGCTTTGAGTACATGATTCCCCAGGGAAGAAGAGGCAACAAAGAGAGGCCTGTTCCTCCCAGGTTTTGTTTGTTGTTCCTTGGAACAATCGGGGCTTTCCACAGAGAATAGGCGGAGTAAATATTGAGGCCAAAGTGAGACTGTTCCAAGCTCATGTGAGCCTGTGTTGGTCTGAGTGTTTTTAGTTCAGAATTCTCAGATTCACTGCAAATCCTCACCGTATTACAGTGAAGAGCGATCAAGATGACCAAATAGGCACTTTTTCCAGAGGTTCGAGGCCTTGCCACCGGCTGTTCCAGGAGCTGCATGCATTCAGTGGCTCCGCTGTGGTGTGTTCAGTGGCATTGCTCTGGTAGCCCTCAGCCAGGGCGAGGAAGCCGAGCGCGTCTGCAGTGTAGCAGTGGGCATCGCTCTCATCAGCAGACGCACACCACGTGGGCAAAGCGTGGGGCGAGGACATTAAAAGTGGGAGTTGAACCCTGGAGCCAGGTGGAGGACTTGCTGGCCATCCCAGAGCAGCTGCTTGTCTTCCAGTCTTCCTGGCCCTTGGAGGGGGCAGCTGCTACAGGAACCAGCAGCCTAGCAGAGAGGAGATCACTGCCCTGGGTGGCAGCGGACTCACAAGCTGGAGGCTGCACACAGAGAGGGTGCCGCCACTGGATTTTTGCAGAGTGGGAGCCTGGCCCAAAGTCACTCATACTGGGGGTGGGAGAGGCTGCTGGTGGGGGGTGGGAGGCTGCTGGGGTGAGGTCCAGCTCAGTTCACAGGGCAGCCCCTGTCCTCCTAGCACAAGAGCTAGGAGGGGGTGTCTTGCACCACGCACAGCCACCATCGGGCGGCTCCCAGCGACAGCAGGCAGCTGATGAGGGCGGGTGGCAGCCTGCTCATTGATGAGGTGCGGCTGGCTTTTCTGAGGTGCTTGTGCCCCACGTTGGAGACACACAAGGAAGACACGAGGGCCCCAGGAAAGCAAATGTGAGCTGATGGTGATTTGGGGGATCCGAGGTTCCTGAGGCAGAGTCAAGGCCAGAGCAGTATGAGCCACATGAATCTGTCCCGTCGAAGCCACCATCACCCCCACTCCTGCCTCTCATCCACCTGCTTCCACCACTGATGCCCGATCAGCCAGCTTCCCCCAGGCTGTGCAGGCTCACAGCAGCTTCTCACCTGGGTCCTTAATTCTCGTGGGCTGCAGCCTCCTGGTGCCACCCGCAGGTGGACAGTGCCTCTCCCAAGGCCTCAGTCCTGCATGCCAACACACGCTTGGTCACTGCAGGGTGTGACCCCTGTCCTGTCCCCACCCACCTCAGGGCTGTGTAACACTCCAGAGGACTCTGAAGTGACATGGATTACAGGAGTGCACCAACAGTCCCACGCTTGGGTTTTAAAAGTTAGATGTTTTAATTTGAGATAGGGTCTTGCTGTGCAGTTCAGACTGGCCTTGAACTCACTTTGTAGCTCAGGTTGGCCTCAAATTCACAGCAGTTCTTGTGCCTCAGCCCTCTCAGTGCAGAAAAGTTAGATTCTGAAGTACATATGTGAATGTGTAAATATACTTGTATATTTATCTCCACAGCTATCAAAGAGGGACTCAGAGTTATACTTAAAGAGATTCTTTTTAAAAAGAAACAGATGATAAAAAGTCAAAATTTCATAATTGTTTTCAAACTTCAAAGTGTTTTGTGCTCAGTAAACAGAGTCTCACACATGCACATATGCCAGAGGTTGGACACCCAGTGAACAAAATTACAATGCCCCACAACCTCTGCCATCCCTGAGGAGGGCAGGGGCTGACCAGGAGCTGGAAGAGAGGGCAATGCGTAGTTGCTAATGGCTCATGTACCAGTTCAGCGTCTCTCCTTAAACCGAAAGGCGCATTTCTCAGAATCTGGAGCGGAAGAAGACTTCTCTGTCTTCTGCCCTGCATTTTCCTTGTTGCATGGAACTGTTTTAGTGCGGTAATGTCAGCAGCAGTGCGGTCATAAATCATCTCACCTGCACTAAAGAAAAACCAAAACACTGCACAAAGGATTTTTTCAGGAGGGGTGGAAGGTGGGAGCTTCGGAAACACATGCTGAGCTCAAGGTCCTGCTCTGCCCAGCCCCTGGGCATGGGCAGCTGCACACAGAGCCGAAGCTGTGGGTAGGGAAGGTGGCCCTGCACCGCTGCAGGGGTGGAGCCCCTTGGCTCGTCCATCCTTTCTGGCCCAGGGGAGTCAGGCCCCACATCACCCCAAAGAAGACGGCCACTCCTCCTGTGCCCAGCACACTGCACGGAGCAGATGTGAGATATTCCCAAGACTATGCGTCTGCAGTGTGATGGAAACATATGGTGTGCTGAAACTTTGAAAAATTATTACAGTGGGGCCAGGGAATTAGCTTAGCGGCACAAGCACCTGCTTGGCAAGCACAAGGTCATGAGTTTGATCCCCAGTACAAAAAAAAAAAAAAAAAAAATAGTAAAAGACACATTGCTGTAAACCCCTCTCAAACACCTCCCCTTCGCTTTGAACATACTTGGCTCCCACTGTGCTTGTCATTTTCGAAACCAGCTCTGGAGTTCTCTTTCCTGAATGTCTTTAGCTGTGATGTCCTGGCTGCCTCAATGTCCTGAGTGGACTCAAAACATTTCCCTTTCATGGTCACTTCGACTTTGGGGCAGAGCCAGAAGGCTCACGGTGCCAGAGGCAGTGAAGAAGACGGAGGAGGACGTCTGCCAGCCTGGTTGCACGAGCTCGCCTGCCTGTTGGGTGACGCTGGGAAGCAGGGCTCGCTGTGCTTTTGATCCCACCTCACACAGACTCCCAGGAAAGCACTGCAGCGGCTGCTCTGGAGGGGCAGAACGGCAGGAGAGGGGAGGGCCCGGGGTTCAATGGCCATGTGTCCCTCCCCGTAGTAACTTTTCATGGTTTCACGGCTCTGTGTCACCACGTCACCCGTCGTACATCACACACAGAGCCCCGAATGCTGACCTGGTTTCTCTCTCCATCTCCACAGGGACGGATCTGCAGAAAAGCTGGCAAATCAAAAAAGTCCTTCAGCCGCAAGGAGGCAGAAGCGACCTTTAAGAGTTTGGTGAAGACTCACGAAAAGTACGGCTGGGTCACCCCGCCCGTCTCGGACGGCTGATGTCCACCCAAGCAGGGACGCTGCAGCCGCCCCATCGCACACTCCGACCCCGACACATCGCCCCACCGCCGCGCATCCCCCACCCTTTTCTACTCCAGCCGGAACTGCATCGTGAACGCCAGTGACTGATGGGCAGCGGTGTCTGCAGAGAGGGCGCCGAGGCCGCCGGACCCTGCTTCCGTGACCGGTGGGTGAGCGCGTCTGAGGGACTCCGGAGCAGACATGGAGATGGTGACGTTTCCCAGCCTGCCCGCCCTGTCGCTCTGTCCTTAGCTTCTCTCCATGCCAGCAGCTCCGCGGAGCCAGCACGATGCCCATGGCCCTTGCTGGCTCCGTTTCCGTGTACATGGCGCGTTCATCTTTCCCAGGAGCACAGGGCGCCACTGACCCCTGAGTACCACGCCCTGCATCTGCTCCTCTCCCCGGCAGGTCAGCGTAACGTGAAGACGTGTCCTCCTCTCTGTGGCCCGTGGTCTGCTGTGATGACATTTAGATCTCATTTGTGCTATGAACTTTGGCTCATGAAAATAAACTCCACCCGGGCAGGTTCTAGTGATTTAAAGACCACAACTGCCCACTCGGTCCAAATGCGTTCTCTCTGCTGACTTTGTGATGTGCTGCTGTTCACAGATAAACCAGTGCCATTTGACAGGAGACAGGGGATGAGGTGGCCGCCGGGATGCACGGTGGCACGGATGCCACATGCACCCCGGCTCAGAGCCGCGACGGTCTTTTCAGACCTTAGAAAGCGCTCCTGCCACGGGGCGTTTATCTTCCTGTCTCCTCTCAGCCACCAAAAGCAAAAGACAGTTTCCCATTCACCGCGGTCATCTGACTCACTTTACTCTGTGTGCTAGTGACAGGGAATTCCAGAACTGCCAAAGGACACCAAGTGATCGTATGACGATTTGCATGACCAGGCCTGTTTCCTCACCCAGTAGTCACTTGTGTGTCCCCCTCCCTCCCCGCCCCAGGGTTGCGATGCAAACACCCTGGCTGTGGTGTAAACCTGGTATTTAATCTCCCCACAGTTTCATTTCTTCTCTTCTGTTAAGTTCCTTTGCACTTTCTAAGAAACCCCGTGAAATGAGGAAGTACTGTTTATAGAAACATGCGGGAAGAGGTAAACTGTTCATTCCAATCGGAAAATCTTCTTGGACACATTTTAAATAAAATCATGCATACGTGACACACTGCCTCAAGAATCCAGTCATTGTGAGCTCTCCTTGCATTTAAAATACTTGATCAGCTGCGTAACGTCTTAATATTTCGAATACTGCAAAAACACCAAAGCATGCACTCCAGGAAAGGCATCCCCCAGCCAGGATTTGACTCCTAGGAACCCATGTCTTTGCAGAAATCTAGTAGATTAAGACCTGGTGCAGCTGCTGGGAAGACGAGTAGAATCTAACTAAGAGCATTTGCAGATGACTGGGCCCAACTCAGATGTGCCCCTGTGTTGCTTCTTGCCTGATAGTGCACCATTCTTCAGGCAGTGTTGGCTCCTGGGAGCTGTCACTTGTCCAAGGGATTTTAGGCATCTGACAGACCTCGCCTCAAAGGCAGGCGTTAGCTCCTCCCAGCATGTCTGCAAACAACCAGATCTCCCCTGTATTAGAGCTCTTATTTCTTTCCACTATCTTATTGCCCCAGTTACATTAATGCCGCTGGGCTTCCAGGCTGCGGTGACTGGGTTCAGAGAATGCCCAGCCTCCTGCTCTCGTCCCCCTGGGCAGTCATAGTCTGAAACTCAGTGCCAGTGAGCAGGAGCATTTCCACCTGATCCCCAAGTGGAATTCTCCATCCTGGAAACCAGGGCTCGGCGGAAGCTCTCTGAACCCTGGGGCTGGTGGTTTGATGGAATCACTCCATGGGCGGTGAGAGAATGCACTTGAGCTTACTGAGTTACAGGTATTTTCCTCTCCTAGTGTATAATCAGAAGTAACTATTTTAATAGGAAAAAGTACGCTTGCAAAACTAGGTCCCTTCGTTTCGTTCAGTGGCTGATTGGGAAAGGCACATGGTGGTTTTGGGTGGGCTCCATGGGAGGTGCAACAGGAGATAGGTGTGCCACCACCCAAGGGGGCTGGGTCACTGCCACCTCCCAAGCCAGAGAGATTAGGGTCCATCTCTGCTTTTGAGTGCGCCTGGAATTTGATTTATTTAGTGAGGCATTTTCCATTAGGGTTGTTAGAAACTTACAGAAGAAATCAATTCTGTAGTGAAGGAAATGCCACTTTTCATTGAAACTGGTAAGAATTTCAACTTTTCAAAGCAGCAGGAATTAATTTCTAAAAATGCTATTGCTGTGACTGCATTAGAAGTAGGTTCTGGGTCCACACCATGGAGGAGCCATCCACAGGGGAGCTCAGCCATGGCCTGGCTGGCGCTGCTGCCAAGTGGGGAGGTGGCAAGGGGATCCCTGGCTGTGCTGCAAAGAGTCATGCATTGCCATCCCACTTCTCAGCTGGCCCTCGAGGGAATCCCAGGCCACAGAAGAGCTCTGGACAGTCTGGTGACCCTAGGAGATGGAAAGTAACACAATCGGCAGTCCCCTGTAAGCAGCAGGACAGTCACCCAGTGACACGCAATTCTCGAGGCCCCTAAAATCCAAACATAGATAAATCAGCATTTAGACTCAACTCCCCAGTTCCCTGTTCATTCCATCAAAATTTAACCTCATTTTTTTTAACAGAATAAAGAATCCATAGACCAGCAAAATTGATCCACAGTGGAAATGCAAAACCCAAACATATCTACTTGATCCTGGGGTCACTTGTGCCCGAGCCTTGATTCCCTCAGCTGACAAACTTCTCACCAGCTTGGTGGGAGATTTACCCAGATGATCGAGGAAGGCACTCTGGAGACCCAGGATGACAGCAGAATGGCAGCTCCTTTCATGGTGTCTGGTAACGGCCTATAGGTAGAACACACCGGGACCCCTGCCCGGATCACCTCTGCACGCTGCCCATTCTCCATGCAGCCAGCCTCCCCCTCTTAGAAATGGGGAGGGGAGAACAGGGCGCATCTCATCGCTGGGCGGGAAGTTCTCAGACAAGAGAGAGGGCGATGGTCCATGGCATTCAGAAATGACAGACACCATGCAGGTCCAAGCTCCCTTCCGAGGCCTGAAGACATTGTGGAGGAAGTCGGGGTGAGCCAGGCAGGGCCCAGGAGAAATGGGAGCCGCAGAGGGAGCCTGGAGGGCGCAGTGTGGGTCCTCACTAGAAAGGGTGCTGCGGGCCCTTTGCCATGTCTCCTGGCAGGACACACTGCAGTGAGCACAGCCACCTGCAGCCTGCGTGGCCTGGGAGCTGCCGGGCGCAGACCTCGTGTTTAGCTCTCTCCTAATACCATGCAGAACTCTCATGGACTTTGCAGAATTGTAACGGGATGGACTCAGAACTCATGTCCCAGGTATAGCAAGGAACGGGCCACTGCCACACAGCCCACTGTACCCTCAACAATGAGGGGACCCCGCCCCGAGAGGCTGAGCAGCCTGCTTGCCACCCCTGTTTCCTCACAGTGCTGCCCATGGACTGAGTTCCCCTGGCCCACACCCAAGCACAGGCTTCTTCCCTTGCCCATCGAGGATCCCTCAGTCCTCCAGCCTGCGGCACAGCCAAGGTGACCCCTTCTGGGCTAAAAGTCATAGCCAGAGATCCCCCTGCAGCGGCTTTGGGAGCTTGTTCCAATTTTGTCTCCAAAAATATTAAAATACCACACAGCTCTGCTCCCACACCTTGTGCCATGGTCTGCCTCCTTCTTCTCATTTTCCAGCCTTCGGCTCACCTGGTGCTGCACATCATGGAAGCTCAGGGCCATCTGACCCACAGAACCTGGCCAGTGAGCTGGAAAGGCCTGAGGATCACCGTCCACTCTCAGGAAGGCAAGAAGCGATGCTCACCTGCTTCCAGAAGAGACTCAGGAGCCCAGAGTGCTGCCAAACAGACACAGAGCAGAGGGTCTGAGGAGTGTAGATCAGAGGAGCACCGTCATTCTGAGGCTGCTGCAGGGCCAGGCGAATAGCAGAGTGGGCCAAGAGGTCGTCCCCCGGGTCAGTGAGACGCTGTAGGGTGAACAAGTGGAGCCTCACCCCAGCCGCCACCCTGCTGCTCTTGCAGGGTGAAACCCGTCTGCTCTGAGACACAGGCCTGCTGTAGCTCTAGATCTCGGCAATCCCTGGCGATAGCACAGGTGGAGCCGAGACCTGATGCGCTTGGCCTTGCTCCCGCCCGCCTCCTCCACCCACCAGATTTCATCCAGAACGTGGTCACCCTTGGGACCGCAGTAGGGCGCTGATGGGGTTCAACCTCGGGGTGCCTGTCACATTTCAGTTGCTCCCTGCGATTCCCACTTAGGCACTGGTGCACCCTCTTTCCAAAGGGACCCTGCAAATGTAACCCTCGAGGAGAGAAATTGAAAGCATGTGCCATAAAAGAAGTAATTTACCACGGGCAATGTCAGGTGTCTAAGCCTAGTGCCCGGGAGGCACTGCCTTGGTGGGATTAAGGATGATGCGGAAAGGGAGACTGCCACCAGTAAATATCGGTGTGTGGCGTGTCGGCGTGTCCCGTCGGGCTCTTCCAGGTCCCCACGCACGCTGTCCCCTGTGGTCTCTTGTGGGTGGCTTTCTGTTACATGGTGCCCTCTGATCTTTTGCGCTTTGATGCATTGTGTCTTGCCACCTGGGCACTTTGAAGTGTGTCATGGAGTTGTCTATAAATAATCAGTGAAAGGCCACCGAACCAAATCTGACTCTGCAACCATGTAATGCAGAGGACTCCTGCGGCTGCCACTTGCACGATAGGAATTTATAAACATGTTTGCCAAAGAGCCTGGGTAGCTTCTCAATGGAATTGAAATGTGCTGAGCACAAAACTGTAGCCAAAAGCCTACTGAATTCCAGAGACTTCTTTGGAAAACTTTCAGAGTGGCCATCCCAGCAGGCAACAATTTGTAAATGTGTCAATTAAAAGTCTCACAGCTCATTCTTCACCCTGAGCTCAGCTTTCATTTTTGTGTATTAACTTTTTAATTCATTTACACACATTGTAGTTTGGGGCTTGAACCCTCGACCTTCATGCTGTCATACCTCCCCAGCTCTTTCTTGAGATAAGGCTTGGCTAAGTGGCCCCAGGCTGTGCTCCAATTTGCAATCAGCCTCCCAGGGCTCTGGGATTCCGGCAGGCACCACCCCAGCTGGGTTAGCTTTCCCCTTAATCTTGTTTACCACACGACTTCTCCACCCTTATCAGTGCCCAAAACAATACTATTTCAGTACTAAACAGGAGGTGGCTTTGGAATTAAACAGCCTCAAGCTCCGTCCACCTCCTGTCACAGGCAGGTGAGGAGCTTCGGTCCAGTTTTCTATAAAACCTTGAGGGCGCATCTGCTGCCGAGGGCCTCAGTAACCCACAGACCCAGGAAGTGACCCTGGAGGAGGCGACAGACGTGACTTGGGGGGGCTCAGCTGGCTCCAGCTCTTGGGGCTGGGCTCCAGTCCCAGGTAGACCTGCTGCCCGTCCTCAGGGGAAGGCGTGGCACGATTGCGGGCTGACTCTGGGCTTGTGGGGTGTCCAGGCGGTGTGCACCCCACCACACACAGCGGCCACTGTGAGCTGAGGCGAATGAGCTCAGGGACCCGATTTTGTTAGGGACACTCAGACGACCCCTCAGGGGGACGCCCCCCCTGCCAGGCAGGCCCTGCTGTGTCTCTGTTGCCGGCGTCTCCATGCAGAGTAAAGGCCACTGGTCACTGGAAACAAGGTATTTTCCTCCCCTGAGGGCCATGACAGACCCTAGCGGAGACAAACCGTCTGCCCAGGCGGAGTTCAGCTGGACTGTGCTTTACTTGCTCAGCCTGGTTTTTAAAAATTAAATTCTTGTCTGAGTTTTCTTACGCAGTGTGTGAAGTTGCACTCCTGGTGGGAGGCAGCGAGGACCTCGGGTATCCTCGTGCCTCTCCTGCACCGCCCCTCGCGTCCTCCTCCCTCCACCTCCCGGTGCCCTTCCCATTGGCAAAAACTCGCTCGGCCTTTCACTTTGCAATTTCATTTATTTCTCCTTTGGTTTCTTCGGATGAGAGAGCAGCCTGGCGACACTGTAGCTGGCCCTGTGCTGTCGCCCTCGCCCCAGCACCTAGGTGTGACCACAGCTGCAAGTGGGGACAGAGCGGCAGCGCCAGCG